TCTCAAAATCCGAGGCTGAACCCATCCTCCCAACAGCTCTAACAAACAGTTAGTGGACAAGCAATCGGAAGATGAAAGTGGGAGGGAGGCTACAAATCAGCACTAATAATATTATAGCAAAGCGGGATGATTACACTGAAAGAATAAGAGGCCATGAGTTCCTGGTAACAGACTCACCAAATGTGCTCCAGAATGGTTTCATGCTGCAAACCTGTCAGAGGACAAGCCAACCCCTGAAACTACGAAAACGCACGGAAATATAACGCCAAATATCAGGATTTAACCGTAAAACTGCTCTGCTGTCCGAAAATGCGAGACCTGTGAGGAAGCACAGCACAGCCGAAAGCGCGATCGCACCGCGGATAAAGCCAATGCGACGGTTGTTGTACAGTGGATACATGTAGAAAGCAATGAAAGACTGTAACAGCATGTATACACAACCACTTCCGAAACAAGTGAGCGCGGCCACGAGATGCACCGTGATAACCGCCGACTCCTGGCAAAATACAGTCACACTGAACTGCATACTCAACGTTGCTTCGATCAATTTTTAAACTCAAGCACCTCTTCCTCATCAACGACGACAGAGAGGAAAAGCACTCATTCTGGCCTAAGGCTGACGCGACAAAAAAAAACCACCTGCCGAGACAGCGACAGTTGTTTTCCCCTAGTAAATTTTCTTGAAAAGCAAGCTAAACACAGCACAGATACTCATTTAAGCAAAACTGTTATTGCTAACAGCAGTATATCACGCAGTAATGAAAAAAACATGGGTTTCTTCTGCACGAAAATTTTACCCCAAACTAAACAGGAAAACGAGGTGTAGAAATTGGCGAAATCTAAGTTGGAAGGTCATAGTGTGTGTGCGCACTTCTGCAGCCTTTGCAGAGAAATGCCTCCCAAATAGCGTCCCTACCCCGTAACTCAAAAAGCCTACTCAACGTACTTGAAAATTAGCGACAATGAACATGCCAACCGCACCAAGCATGCCGATAACGTAGGTGAAAAAATTTATTCGTTTCAGAAGGAGATCGGCACCGCGATTCAGCTCAACCACAAGCGAATATCTGAAAAAGAAGCGAACTCAGAGCGGCTCTTCATCCCCTCACAAGTAACTGGTACACCCGTCTCAAGCATACTTCTTTCGTAGTGCATTTCCCCACAGTCGAAGCTGCGCAACCTGGTGGTCGATTCGGCGATAAGCCTTGTCACGCATTTCCTCACTCTCCTCGTTCTGGCCTAGGATAAAAAGATAAAATGTGTCCCATCCCCTCTACGGCCTGAATGATTTTTCTAAACATCTGCCAACGCTTTTCACAGGTGAGATCAGCAAGAACTGTTTTCAGAGACAGTAATCTCACTGCAAAGATAACACAACTTCCAGCTATGTATCTAAACAAAGTAAAATTGCAGCAGAAGTGTAACAGACCAATCTCAGCTATGCCATGTCTCGCGCTACCAACAAAACAAATATCGCCACTTATCTGGGGAGAGGATTAACAGCAATTATTAGTTTTTTGTAATAATTTATGGCAGATCCATAGAACGGATGAATAAGAAAGAACACATCGTATTAGTCTTATCTCACCACCTTGATTTTTTTTTCTTTTTTTTGACTTGTTCATCACAAGAAAGCATAGAAAAATCAAATTCAAAGCTTGCTACGCTCAGAAATTATGACGCTAGTCTATGTCCGAGTGTGAGGCCCTAGGTGAGGATATAAAAATGTCTGAAATCTAATTTTGAAGCATTAAAATCTTATCATACTTCCGGTTAAATTCGAAGACAACAAGTTGTCACTTATTCCGTCCTGAGATTACGAAATTAACCTGAATATGGGTTTGCATTCACATGCTGTAAAACAGCGAGCTTTGAAAACTAATTTGACTATTCATACTAAATGTACAACTCACACAAGTTCGAAATTTGACGCATGCTTTTTTGTATGTACGCAACGCAAATAAACAGCGGCGCACACCAGGGCAGTTGGTGAGATCATGCGTTTTGCAGTTTCGTCCAACAAAAGTTTGCTTGCTAAAGATTTCCACTGCTTTGCATTTTGGACTTTGCAAAAATAGTTGAAATTTTGTCTGGTTCCTAAGTTGCGAAATTTTCCGTGAGAAATTTCATATGTCGGTAAGTGAAAACTGAGAAAACTTAGATGGTGCACATCCTTTCAAAATTTTAAACACCTAATTTCCTGGCTGTTGGGTGATT